CACTGGGAATTTATTCTTGTTTCTTCCCTCTCCTTCCTCTTCTGAAACATTTGGTGGCCGGTTCTTCCCAGCTCTGCAGGCACACAGGGTCGGCTCCCCAGGGGGATGTTAAATCCCATCTCAGCTGTGTCTGTAACACCCTCGGACTGGGGTCGGCTGCTGCCCAGATCTGCCTGGCAGAGCCCAGTCAGGCAGGGTAGTTCACAGGGCACGAGTACTGGCTTAGGGGGGACTTGGGGACAGCGAGTACAGTAGCACCCCTGGCAGCAGGGTCAATCTTTCCCCTCTGCCTCTCTGGCCTGTGCTCCCGAGGAAGCTCTATTGCTTTGGCACAGGGAGAGGGAAGGACTGGTGAACAGGATTAGGTCCTGTGGCACTTCGTAGCAACCCAGGCTTTTGGCATAACCTCTTGGTGCTCCTCTGTGCTCGAGCTGTGCTTTGTGCTCCAGCAAAGCCTGCTGGAAATGCTCAGGATGTTGCTTGTCTCCCACCTACACCCAGCAGGTCGCATCTCAGAGAGGAGCCACGTACGCATGCCAGGGTATGGGACTGTCTCTCCCTGCTGCCCCTGGCACTGCCCCAGGACTCTGCAAGGTCCAACAGTAGCTCTGAGACTTTCCGGTGCTCCTGGCTTTCCCTGCCCACATCCCGCTGCCCCCACCATCGCTTCTGTGTGTTAAGACCTGAGGCCTCCAACTCCATCCCCAGGAAGGCTGGAAAGGCCAGTGGCTGTTGGGACACACGTTCTTCTCGCCTGTGTCAACAGACTTGTTTCAGCCTAATTAGCTCGTCAGGCTATGACACTCTTCCCTCCCCTGGGTTCTTCTGCCTGCTTAAGCACCAGGCAGCGTGAGACGGATGAGGTTTTCCTCCGCGTGTGACAGCCGTGCCCCTGGGGAGCAGCTTCCTTGCAGCAAAAGCCGTGTCTTCCTGAAGCATCCTGCCAGGTGGGGTTGTCCTTCAGATGCTGGAGCAGGTTCAGTTTGGGGGTGGTCAAACACATAGGGAGGGGCCAGTACCCCTCTATGGCCCCCCAGCTGGGTCCGGATGCTCAGACAACCCTGATTTGTGCTCTGGGGTAGGAGCTGGGGACTCTGCTCAGGGCTTTCTGCTGGCAGTGCCACTGCCCCAGGACCGGGGAGGGATGGAGCCAGGTCCCAGCCCTGGCAAGCTTGAAACCATACAAAAAAATTCAAAAGTGCTTCCCCAATGCTTTGATTTTGCAAGAAAAATGTGAGGTGGCAGTCATGTACAGCTGGATTTAAAGAAAAGAGATTGTAGTCAAGAAAAATCCAGAAACTCAACAAAATTAGAAAGTTGAGAAGATTTAAGATTTGTTCAAAGTTTTGCTGCATGCCTTCCTCCCTTCCGAGTCCTGGCTGACGCTCTGCAGGCTGGGGGGGGACTTCTGGTGAGACAGAGCCTGTCCCATCATCCCCAGACCACCAGACATTGCAACAGAGATGGGGCTTTTTGTCCACATTTAGGTGGTTTAGGTGCTGTTTTCCTGTCAGCAGAGGAAGCCTACCTTCCGTGGGAAGGCTTGGATGAAGGTGCTCACGCGTATAAATCCCCGGAGCCGGGGTTTGGATCTCAGTCGCGTTGTGCTGTGCCCAGGAGCTGCCGCGGTGGTGCAGGGTGCGCTGTGTGCCGTCGTGCTTGCTGCCTGCAGCAGCCCAGCGCAGCCTCGGTGGCAAGTCTGCTCCCGAGGGAGCAGTTGTGGAGTGCAGCAAGGAAAAGTTACTTTGGCTTGCCAGTGTGTTTGGCTCGGCGTGAACGTGGTGCCTGTAACCTGCCAGGGAAAGTGGCTTTTCTGAAAAACGAGCACTGTCGGGTGCTGTCCCCAAAATACACCAGACCAGCCTGTTGCAAGGAAACTCATCTTTAGGTGCCGTGGTCAGAGAGGGCCAGGGTCTGTGCCCCCCCAGCCCGCGGCGCTGCTGGCATCCAGCTGGGCAATCTTGCAGATCTCTTTTCTCCCCAGCCTTGCTCTTCTGCCGGTCTGCGCGTCCCTCGTGCCTCTGGTCCTGCGCAGAGGTGTCACGGATGGGTGACACCTGCGGGTGGCATTCGGTTTTCTGCTTCCACTTGGCCTTGCCTGCATGGGTTCTCCTGGGCTGCGTGTGCCTCTTTGCCGGGGTCACAGAGCTCCCACAAAGCTTCCTTCAGCAGACAGGGAAACAGGGGAGAGGCCCCCTTCCCCTGTGTGCGTTTTCTGGTTTCTCTTTTCCCAGGCTGCAGTAGCTGAGCTCATCACGGTCAAACAGCAGAACTGGGGTCGCTTCTCCTGTGGGAGGGCCAGGCGCTGGGCACTCCCTCGGGTCCCTGGCCCAGGACACCTCCCTTTCCTTCCCCTCCAGCAGCCCCTCGCCTCCCTGCGCATCCTGCCCGTGAGCTGTGCGCGCCACCAGGTGCTGGGGAGTGTCTGGAATCCAGTTTATTAACAGTAAAAATTGCAGATTTTTGTTCTTTCTCCCTCTTCACCTGCATTCACCCCAAAGCAAAACAGCTGCCACCTCCCAGAGATGCTGCACCTTTATGGTCTCGTACCGGCGGCGCTCGGCATCGACGGGAGGGGAGGGCAGTCTGCC